CTCTTTCTCTTTCTCCCTCTCTGAAAATAAATACACATTAAAAAATACACATATGGAAACTTACTCAGCTAGGCCAGTGGTTCTTAATTTTAGATGGCGATTCTGCTCCCAGGAGACCTTTGGCAATGTCCGAGGACCTGATGCTGAGCATCCTATGATGCACAGGGCGGGCCCCACAACAGCATCTTTTTTCTGGCCCCAAACACTAGTAGTGCTCAGCAGAGAAACCCTGAGTTAGGCTAGTAATCAACAAGATGCATTCAGACAGAAGTGAAGACTGCCCCAGTCTTATTATTCATCCTTAAAAGATACCCTAATGCACATTTTCCATCCATTGATTGAAATAGGATAAGCCATTAATGGCCTCACTTGATAAATGTTGACCCAGATGAGGTTGGCCCAGCCGGAAATCAGAAATCAGCCAGGCCCAAGAAACGGGGAAGGCAGCTCTGCTCCCCATGGAGGAGCAGACAGTGAGCACAATGGCTGTGCGTGCTGGCCTCACTCTTTCTCTTAGGAGGTCAGAAGCTAGATTGCAGCTCTTTCTAGCTGACCTCATATATTGCAGTGGTTGTGCCCAGAGCCTTGTCCCAGATACAGCAGGTTTCGTGGGGATGATGTTTGTGGAATGCTGGAAGCTAGAATGAGTTATTCTTAATTTCTTTGAAATACAGACCCATTCTGAGAATCTGATAAAAAGTTACGGGCACCTTGTGAGCCATATATTCAAAGTTGTGCATTCAGTTCGTGGGACACCTGAAGCATACCTTCACCCCCTGTGAAGACACCCTGTCTGGCCTAAACCTTTTATAGAAGGCAGTCCTGGCAGTGAAAAAGCCGACAGCAAGGCCAGGGTTCCTGATGCACAAGTTAATATTCTTTCTTTAGGATCAGAGGCGGCCCGCATCCCCACTTCTCATGCCTGCACCTGTGGCAGACATCACTAAGCGATCACTGTATTGATCCACACACTGCTTTGCAGGCTCTCTCCCCAGAGCACTTAGAGTTGCTTTCTCACATGAACTGCTTGTCATCTCATCTCCACGCCATGAGGAAATAGTTTGCAAAAGCTACTGCTGGAATGCAACAGCACCAGTCGGATGATCAGTGCCCTGGATGATCGGGTGACCTGCCTTGATAGATCCCTGTACCGTGTACATTCCGTTTACAGCGACTCCACCCGTTAACAATAATCACTGGTGGTCGAGTCCTGTGTGTCTCTCCTTTTAGCTCTAGTTAATGACTGAATGTTCACCACATGCGTGGAAGAGCAAGCTTACCCGAGGCCTTCAGGAAGTAACACTGTCACAGTCCATATGACCTGCGACTTAGAATTGGAGCTTCAATCTGAGGTTGTTCCCTTAATGCTGTTGAGCTGGAATGTGGAAAGCTGACCTTCATCCACAAGGCTGGGAGAGAGAGGCTCTTTGTAGTTGATTTTGGCAGGGCTGAGAGCAGGTGAAAACAGTACATTGTTTCCCATTGGTAGGTTTTTAAAGGCTCAGGAATGGCTGTGCACCTGTTCACTTGCTTCTGGGATAACATCTGATAACAGTGAATTGGAATGGTTAGTACTTTGAGGACAGAGATATCTCTTTTTGTTCTCTGTGTTGAAGCTACTGGTCTACCACCGGGGACTCGTGTGTTTGTAAGAATTTTATTTAAATGAATTTTTCAACAAGCCTTCTCTTGTTCTGTAAGCTGTCCAAGGTCAGGAAGTCTGGCTTTCATTGATGCCCTTCTCTCCCTGTGGGTCATTGAGAGCCACTCAGTCCTTTGAACTGAAGGGCACATTACACGAGTTCCAGGCTAAGTGCACCCATACCTGGCTCCGAAAGGCCTGTGACTCAGAAGAGGTGGCTGTGTCATAGAGGTCTGGCACAGAGCCAGGAAACCCCAAGTCCCCTCTGGGTTCAGTCTTGTCACTTTCTGTCCTCTGGCTCTGGTCAGTGTCAGACTTTCAGATCACCTCCCAGCTTCCTTATTTGTACAAGTGGGTAATTCTCCCATCACTTTTCAACCCTGACACACAAGATACTCTGAAAATAAATCCTATGCAGAAAGCTAACTGTGATGCTTCAGAATGTCTTAGCTAAATAGGGGCTCAGTCTGAATTAGATTATATGTTCCAACAACAACTCTCTGACACCAGCTGGGTGGGTGTCCTCCAGCTCAGTTCATTTTTATTTTTATTTTTTAAAAATAAATCTTCAATTTTGGAACAGTTTTAGGCTTACATCGTTGCCACAGAGAGTTCCTGTAATCCGCAGAGCCATTTTCTGTATTGTTAACACTCCTACATGGATGTGGTGTACTTGTCACAATTAATTAGCCAGTGTGGATACATTATTAACTAAGGTTCATACTTCATCCGCGTTTCCTCAGTTTATCCCTGATGTCCTTTTTCTTTTCCAGGATCCCCCATTAACATTTATTCACCATGTTTCCTTAGAGTCCTCTTTCCTATGACAGTTTCTCAGACTTACTTTTTATAATATTGATAGGAATACTGGTCAGGTATTTTGTAGAACAATTTCCAGTTGGGCTTTATCTGGTGTTTTTCTCATGGTTAAACTGGGGCAACACATTTCCAGGGGAAGGCCACCGAAGTAAAGTGCTGCTTCCATCAGCCTGGTATCAAGGGGACTTACTGTCCATAGGGCTTGTCACTCTTGTTAATCTTTACCTTACCGTGGTGGGGTCTATCAGGCTTCTTCACCGTAAACTTACTGTTACCTCGCCCTCTGTGCTGCCGTCTTAGGAAGTCAGTGTGCATAGCCTACACTTGAAGATTGGGGTGTTACGCTCCATTTCCCCTAAGGGCAGGGTGTCTACAGAAGCTATTTGAAATTTTCCTGCACAGGAGATCTGGCCCTTCTTCTTACATATCTAATTATTTATATCAGCGTGGACTTAGGAATATCTATTTTATAATCCACTACTATTTTATTTATTTTTTGCTCACATTGTTCCAGTTTTGATCATACTCCCAGCAGTGTGCCCCGCCCCCTTTTTGAGCACTCCGTGACATTCTGGCACCAGAAGACGCTCCAGACTCATCTTCTGTGTATCCTAGAATCACTCAATCAACCATTTCTCTGAGGAGCTCCTGGTTGCTTTTTAGTTGGAGAGTGGTGCTAAGAAGCCAAGATCTGGGGACTGGGTGTGTTTGTTGCTGCTGGGGTGGTGGTGTTTCTGGACCCTATCAGCTACAGAGTAGAGAGACCTGTGTGTGTGTGTGTACTAACCTGGGTTATATGCAGACATTGATAAATGTTTCTGTATGTTTCCAGCTGTATTCATATTAAACCAAGCATGAATTCATGCCGGTGTCTCCAATTCTAACCCTTTTAAGTTAATAGTATATAATTGAATATGTTCTCAACTTGGGACTGTATGCAATCATTAATATTTTGTGGCTCAAAATATTTTTGAAACTGTTATGGAAAAGACTGGCCATGGCTTCTCTAAATCTGTTATTTTTTATCCCCCAATGTAATTCTGCATTCCTAACCCTCCTTTCAGTTAAGTATGGCCCAGTGACTACATTCTGGCCAGTGGGGAAAGGTAGTGGTAGTGTGGGAAGGCTTCTGAAGATGAGGACAGTCCACCACACCCTCCTCTCCTTTCCCTTTCCTCTTCGTTTCTTCCTGCTGCCTGGGACTCACACAAGAAGGCTTGGACTCTTCACGGACACCCTCTGACATCACCCCATGGGGAGAGGATGCGTTCCTGTCAGGTGTGGGTGGAAACACAGGCTTCCCACGTGCTCTCCAGTGACACCACCATGGTGTTCTGTGGATCTGAGGTCCCTGGCCAGTCTGCCTTCTTCTCTCTACTGTTCAGTCCTCTTATGTTTGTTTTAAATACAATGCCCAGGGTTTTTAGTTGTGCTTAATGGGAGGACTAGGGAAAAATACATCTATTCCATCTTTCCGGAAGCGGAAGTCCAGTTGGATTTTGACACTGTCCAGAGTTAGCACAAACCCCACAGGTTACAACGGGCTTTGGTCCCAAGACTCTCCCCTCTTCACATGACACCCACAAGTTCTGAGTGTCCCCAGGCCACCTGAACTCTGCTTCCTGTACTGCTCAGTGTTGATGATTCTCTAGAATGATTCACAGAACTCCTCAAGCATGTGCTGTATGTACAACTGCAGTTTTATTATAAAGGATGTAACTCAGGAACAAGTTATATGGTAGAGACTTGGTTTTAGGGCATTTGTGGGGGAGACAGCTCCTTTCCTAGTGGAATTCGGTGCTACCTTTCTAGTACATTGGTATGTTCACCAGCTGGGAAGCTTGCCAAGCCTCATCACCCAGAGATTTTATTGGAGGTTTTATTACATAGGCACAATTGATTAAATCATTGGTCGCATGGTTGAACTGCATCTCTACTTTCCCCATTCCCTGGAGGATGGGGGTGGGGCTGAAAGTCCAACCCTATAATCATGGGATTGTTTCCTCTGGCCACCAGCCCCCATCCTAAGGCTTCATGAGCCATCGAATTAGCATAATCTGAGGTCTGGTCCAGAGAGACTCCCTTTGACTAACAGAAGACTCTCCTATTACTCAGGAAATTAAGGACTTTTAGGTGCTCTGAGCTAATAGCTGGGGACAAGACCAAATGTATGTATTTCTTACTATATCTCAGGTTGTATATATATTTTTAATTTTAACTTATTTTAGAGAAAGCATGAGTCAGGGAGAGGGGCAGAGAGAGAGAGAGAGAGAGAATGAGAATATCCCAAGTAGGCCCCACACTCAACATGGAGCCCAATGTAGGACTTGATTCCACAACCCTGGGATCATGACCTGAACTGAAATCAAGAGTCAGACACTCAACCAGCTGAGCCACCCAGGCGCCACAACACAGATTGTATTTTTTAAAATACTTTTTTTTCTAACCAATAAAATTCACTTGTTCTAGAACAGTGTGACAAATTTTTAGTGAGTTTCAGTCAACTAGTTTTCTTGCCACTTAATAAGTGAAACACACATGTTGCCCTGCCTTACGTATGCTCTTGAGATACAGAGCTGGAAGCAGGAAAACGATGAGCTCTGTCTCTTATTGACACAGTGGATTCCATGGTCATGGCAGGAAACACTTGGTGTATAGACACATCCCTAAATATTTGTCTTTTTTTTTTTTTTTTTTTTGCTTTCTTTCACCAAAGGAGCCAGTGCATCAATCAGATGAAAGAGGTGAAGGAGCAGTGTGAGGAGCGAATAGAAGAAGTCACCAAAAAGGGAAATGAAGCTGTCGCTTCCAGGGACCTGAATGAAAAAAAGGACCAAGGCCAGCAGGTAATCCTCATTTTTGTTCTGTCCAGAATTTCCAGAAGGCTTTCCTCCCCTCAGTTCAGACATTCACTTCCCTTATCTGCTGTCTGATTTGCTCTTACCTTTGCCGTCCCTGGTAGGTTTGGTTCCCTGAGACATACCAGCCTTGTCTCTGGACACTGGGACTCTGACCGGGTATGCCGGGCTCTGACCCGACCCCGTGCTCAGGGCTTTACCAGGGTGACTTTACCAGGGTGACTCCATAGCCACCCTGGGAGAGAGTTGCTGTTGTGCTGTTTTGAAGGCCCTGAGGCTCATGGAGATGGTTAAATACTGTGGCCTCTGCGCCAGCTGGTCAGTAGGGGGGCCAGGAGCCCATGTTGGCAGGGTGCGTGAAGTTTGGCCCACGAAGCTGCTGCTCGAAGCCTTCAGGATATCTTCGCTTGTTAGTTTTAAATATAACCGTTTTATTGAGAGGTAATTTTCATTCCATACATTCACCCATGTAACAGTCACAATTCATTGGTTTTTAGTATATTCAAAAGTTGTGCAACCATTACAGTAAATTTTAGAACATTTCCATTACCCCCAAATAAACCCATAATTGTTAGCTCTCCCATCTCATCCCTAGAAAACCATTAATCTACTTTCTGTTTCTATAGATTTGCTTTATATGGACATTTCATGTCAGTAGAATCATATAATATGTGGCCATTTGTGTCTACATCCTTTCACTTAGCATAATGCTTTCAAGGTTTGTCCATGTGTTTGCATGTATGTATACTTCATTCCTGTTTATGGCTGAATAATATCGTGTGTGTGCACCACACTTTGTTGATTCATTTGTCAATTGATGGGGATTTGGGTTATTTCTAGTTTTTGGCTTATTATGAATAATGCTGCTGTGAACATTCATGTAGACATTTTTGTGTGGACCTAAGTTTTCATTTCTCTTAGGTATATACCCAGGAGTGGAATTGCTGGGTCATATGGTAACTCAGTGTTTAATGAGAAACTGCCAGACTGTTTTCAAAAAACAATCACACTCTTTTACATTTTCACCAGCAATTTGAGGGTTCCGATTTCTCCACATCCTTGCCAACTCTGGTTATTATCTGTTGTTGTCATTATAGCCATCCCTGCGGGTGTGGAGTCCTATCTCATTGTGGTTTGTATTTGCATTTCCATAATAACTAACATTGAGCATCTTTTCTTGTGTTCTATTGGCCATTTGTATATCTTTCTTGGAGAAATGTCTATTCAGATCCTTTGCCCATTTTTTAATTGAGTTTTTTTAATGTTTTATTATTATTATTATTATTATTATTATTATTATTATTATTACTGAGAGAGAGAGACAGACACACACCAAGCAGGAGAGAGGCAGGGAGAGAGGGGAACAGAGGATCTGAAGTGGGCTCTGTGCTGATAGCAGCTAGCCCAATGTGGGACTCGAACTCACAAACCATGAGATCATGACATGAGCTGAAGTTGGATGCTCAACTGACTGAGCCATCCAGATACCTCTGATTGAGTTATTTTATAATTGAGTTGTAGGAGTTCTTTATGTATGTATATACATACACACACGTATGCATATATATATATATATATATATATATATATATGCACACACACATATATATGTATATATAGAGAGATACCAGCTATATGACTTGCAAATATTTTTTCCCGTTATATGAGTTATTTTTTCACTTTCTTCATGATCATTGAAATATAAAAGTTTTTA